CTCTCTCTCTCTCTCTCTCTCTGTCTCTCCCCTTCCCCCTCAATTCTTCCTATCTCTCTCCTGTCCCCCGACTTCTTCCTCTCTCTTTCTCGCTCTCCACGTCCATCTATCTCCTGTTCTCCCTTTCTTGCTCTTTCTCCCCCACCATAAGCACTCCACCTACCACCACCTTCCTCCACTCTTCCTTTCCCCACTAATGCTCTCACTATTGCATTACAAATAGCTCTCTTGCCTAGGTCTCGTTGGTGAGGTGTCGCTCACTTTGTGTCTGTACTGCACAAACGATCGCGCGTCTGTGCGCGTGCATATGCGTGCCTGGCCGCGTGCATGTGCTGTTTGCATGTATTGCTTGAGTACATGCATAAGCACGTCGTGATAAGAACACACTCTCAGTCGGTCTCTGTCCGTTTTATCGGAGCGCGATTCTCCCTTGCTGTCTTCCTGTCTCTCTCCTCCTCTCTCATCCCTCTCTCCGTTCTACCTCGCCCTCTCTCCTTCAGACGCGTTGTCTCGCACCCTCCACACAACACACGCACATATATACATACATACGCACGCGTGCGCGCCTTCCTTCTCTCTCCCTCTTTCTCTTTCTTTCTCTTTCTCTCGAGGCCGTTCTAGCATACGCGAAGACGCATACATCAGTCCAGCTCCTATGCACAGTGTCCGTTCTCGTCACTCCGACGTGCCGGAATAAGGTGCTCCTTGTCTCGGCAATGGTGTAATACGTGAGCCAGCTCGAGTTCGTGCGCGTAATACGTAAGAATGGAGCGACAACCACAGGGATGACCGCACGGTCTATACTATCGGTTCCTTCCTAGTCCGTCCCTCTGGCCTTTCTTCACGATGCCCTTCGTAGCCTCCTCGTACAGACCGTTTCTTTCGCTCCTATCCGTCCGTCCTCTCTCTACGCCCTATTACGTCTTTCCCTCCTGTCTACGCTATGTACCTACAGTTTCTACTCCACCTACTCGTCCCTTCCGTCTTTCTCATTTGTTCCTGCATGCTTTTTTTTCGGCTCGTCTCCTCCCACGCTCTGACCCGCGTTTTCTCTTCTCCGTCCTTTTTTCCTTTTTCCAGCTCACTATTATGGCGCTTTTTAAACAGAGCACCTCCCTTTAATGCCAGCTCATCGATCTCGACTCACTCCCTTCTCGTCTTACAGTAACTTACCATACTTCGTGGTGCCGATTGTGCTCGCACGTTGTCTTTATGTTGTTTAATCGCCATTCTCGGATATGATGTTTCTAGACAGATAATATATAGATAGTAAATCACGAACTTTTTTTTATTTATCTTTTTATTGCCTGTGACATTTTGTATCATTTGGATGCATGACTTCAATTTATGATTATAAGCCGCAAATACAAGTAGGGTAACGCGCCTGCTCGACGCGCGAGAGAATGCATCATAATAAATTATAATATAATGAAACCTCTCGTACGCTTTTAATTATTTCTTTTCTCCACCGTGCTATACCTCGTCGATTCTCTTGGTACCTCTCGTTGGCGCGCACGTCAGAAGAGCCTGCGCGTAATCTCGAGTCAGTCGTGAAACAAGAGACCGTTCATTACTACGGCTTAACTTTTCCTTTCTCGCGCCTTTCTCCCATAACGCCGTACAATTTTTCCGTCCATTCTTCCTTTCGCTCGCCCGCCCGCACATTACTCTCTTTCGAAAAACACGGAGGCGGTACGTAAAGGTCTCTCTCTCATCAGGTGGAATTATATCGACGTGCTGGTCGCTCGTTGCGGCGGTCAGGCGCTTTACGACCGATCGATCGCGAAATGCTTGAACGATTCGACGGTAAACACCGTTGGATTAATGTCCGCCACTCGTTCGCCCGGACGATGGGGTTTCGATCGGCGAACACGTTGCCCGCCGATCGGCGTGGGCCGGCTATTGAAACCGGTATAATTTTGGCGAGGCTTCGATACTGTAAGCGCACGAAAACGATTCCCGCGTTTATTCGTCAGCCATCGGGAATCGAGTACGACGATTTATTCTCTCGTCGATACTCCCGTTGAATTTGTCGTTGCAACATCGTGCAGCAAACGCGTGATAAAATGTTATGATTTAACGATTGTCCTCAGCAAGGTAGCGTGAGCAATTCTTAAGGCCGATTTTTCAATATTATTTTAATGATAACAATTCTAATTTATATTTAATTTAGTATCTGTACACAATTAATTATATATAATTTAGTAATACTTAGATTTAGAACTTAGATTTTCAAGTTTCTTAGATTTTCAAGCAGAAACTCTAAGAAACTCTGTTCAAACCGAAATCTAAGAAACTCTGTTCAAACATATTGTTAAAGCAGTCTAAACTTGAATCTAAATTTGAACTATGATTGAAAAATCAGCCGTTACTCGTACTGAAAGACTCGATTTCATCTCAGATCAGAAGCTTTAAAAGGAGGTTCTACTTTGGAGTGTCAGAAAAATTGATTTTTTTATTTTTACATTTTTTGCATCTCTAAAGTGTGTATAATATGTCTGTAAAAGAGTTTTGCAATATTCAAAATGTTAAAGCAATTGATTTTTTTATTTTTACATTTTTTGCATCTCTAAAGTGTGTATAATATGTCTGTAAAAGAGTTTTGCAATATTCAAAATGTTAAAGCAATTGATTTTTTTATTTTTACATTTTTTGCATCTCTAAAGTGTGTATAATATGCCTGTAAAAGGGTTTTGCCTTTATTCAAAATGTTAAAGCAATTGATTTTTTTATTTTTACATTTTTTGCATCTCTAAAGTGTGTATAATATGCCTGTAAAAGGGTTTTGCCTTTATTCAAAATGTTAAAGCAATTGATTTTTTTATTTTTACATTTTTTGCATCTCTAAAGTGTGTATAATATGCCTGTAAAAGGGTTTTGCCTTTATTCAAAATGTTAAAGCAATTGATTTTTTTATTTTTACATTTTTTGCATCTCTAAAGTGTGTATAATATGCCTGTAAAAGGGTTTTGCCTTTATTCAAAATGTTAAAGCAATTTATGACTTGTTGAACCGGACTTTATAGCGAAAATCAAGTGAGCTGAACGGTACTACGCGCGCGATGTTTATGAAAATGTGTAGACAGTCCTTCAACCAATATATGAAGCCCTTTCCAATAATGATTTACTGCAGCGATGTATCGGAGCAAATACACAATACTCCAACGAATGTCTGAATGCATGTGTTTGGAAATTTGCTCCGAAACACTGTTTTTGCTTCCAAAACTGTCGAAATCGCGACTTATCTGGCAATAAATATATTTAACGAAAGATATTCATCAGTTCTGAAGACAATGAACACATTAGGAATCGTTCTTAGTTTGTTAAAAACATCGATAGACATCGCATCGACGCAGCAGAATTACGAATGTCGGGCTTAGTAAAACAAACAAGAAATGAAAGAAAAAGTGCTCTAATGCAGCAAAATTTGTTCTTCGAACAAGAGGAGAGATTGATTTATAAGCCAGGAATCGCTGATGAAATGTAAATTGCAAAATATTATAGTTAACTAAAAATTATCATAAAATAAAACTTTAAACATATTTTTCTCAAATTCACGTTTTTCAAACTGGCAGGAAATGTACAGCTTTAACCAATCATCCGATTGACTTGAAATTTTTTCCTACGTAAAATAGACAATTTTTATGAAGCCATAAACCTCAAAATGCCATAAATTTTCCAAAATAACTATTTTTTTTAACAGGTTGAAAATGAAAAAAGTTCGTGAAAATTGGTACTTAATTTCAAATGGCTGCCATTCTGTACATTTTCAAGTTTTTCAAATGAAATGAGGTTCATGACCTCAGAAATTTAATACATTTTAATAATTTTATTGATTTATTTGTCTCAGATAAACTGTCGACCAAGATTTCCCGCCAATTGGCCACGCGTTGCACGCTCTGATGGATTCCTAAGCTACAGCCGCAATTTTCTATATTTCTAAAAATAAAAAATGTACGTTGAAATATAAAAAATATAATGCAAAAAGTATCACTTTGATATCTTTTTACTTTCCTTATGAAAAAAATTGGTAAAAAGTTCATAAATTTTGGACCTCTACAGTAGAACCTCCCCTTAAAAAGCCTTAGTAATAACTTATAATTACGATTACTTTACTATAACTTTATTACAACTTTTTTAAGCACGCGAATCGAAATCCCTATTCCACTGTTTTGTGGATAATACAAAAGTCGGGTGAGACCGAAATTGATTTATTGATCGATGTGCAAAAATTGTATCCATTATAAGTGGTTCATATAATAATGTAACGTTCATATGATACGAAAGAAATACAAAAATATTATGACAAACAATTCGCCCACAAGATTACGTCGTGTAAAATACAATATGAAATTCTGAATATAACTTTTAATGAGCGATCGATGTAACAAAAAATTTACACCTTTGAATAATATAAAATTTCTCTATATTTATTCCACAAGTGTCTTTAAAAGATTGTGAAATTTCCATCATTGATTGTCTCAATCATACAAAAGTCTATCTGGGTATCCATTTCTGAACGATAAGATACTGGAGGGAGGAGCTTAAGGCTTTCAGTATGAGTAAAAGTTACTCACGCTATCTTTCTAGAGGTACTCAATCCTTAATCAAGATGAAGTCGAGGGAAATCTCATTGGTCGTTCCGTCACAAAAGTACACGCATAGTTCGACACACTTTGAGCCACGCCACTGTTTTCCTTTACGTGACGGAGCGATGGACGAAGTAACGCAGCGATTTTCCAGCCTTCCGGGCCCGAGAGTCGGCACGACGGAATCAGCTCAGCCAAAAGCACGTCAGGCGAGTAGGCTGAAGCTCTCGCGTCGTATCTACTCACGTTGCATCGTTTACCGAACGGCGTCAGCGTCGCGTCGGCCCGCGTCAGCTCCGTTAACGACGGCCGCGCGCTTAAATGTTCCATTGCCACGGCGAGTTAATTATTTAGCTGACAATTTGCATGCCGAGCGGCACGCAGCTTTCGCCTCGGCCTCGCTTTAATCCGCGCATTAATGGAGCCACCGGCACCATTTTCCCCTTTCTTGTTTTCGCGCTCGTGTCGGTCTGTCGTCGCTCGCGCAGACGAGGATCGTCATCTCGATCAGACTCGCGTATAATGTGCGTACACGTCCGCGGGATTGCGGCAATGACGGCTATACTTAGAGCGCGCTAGACGAATCTCGCTCGAGGGCCGCGTGGAAAGGAGGTCGTGAAGCGGCTGTTGCGATGCCGCGGCGCGATTCGGTGTGACGGTGCCTTTACACTCTTCCTCCTTGGACTTCCGTCCACGTTCTCTCACTCCGTGCGCAAAACAATCGGCCTAACGAATCGCGTAATTTATTCGCGCTACCTATTGCTGAATTAGGAGTCAACGGGTTACACAGCGATACGTCACACACGCGTCCTTCCGTCATCTGTGGAGCGCGCCACGAGTGATTAATTCCGCCATTGTGCCACGAGATTAATTTTCCCCCCGTGTTGCTCGCTCAAATAATAAATATTCGCCAACGCGCGGCTCGCTTACCCTTTCCGCGTAATCGTGAAAAATGTCAACTGCACCACTGATCATTTGATCGTTAATCGATGAGAAATCCGTGACCTTTTGGGCAAATATAAGCTTACAAGCGGGTAATATCCCTCGCACAGATTCCCCGAGATTAGCACGCCTGGTATCGACGATTAATCGGTGTTTTTGCACCGCCGTCTGTTCCGCGGATTAAACCTGGCGCGAGCGAGCGAGCGCGCGGGTGTGCGTTCGTGAAACCGAAAAATAAATATCATCCGCTGTGAAATAATTTATCAGCGCGTAACTCGCCGGAGCGAATCTTTATCGTGCAAAAGCGAGAGCATTATTTCCGGAAGAGATGCGCCGACGCTATTCTCACGGTGCGTACGCGTAAATATTTACTCGCGTTATCACAGCTTGTAAATAAAAAAGAAAAAAAAAGATGCGTGTATATATATACACATACACGTTTATATATATAATAATTCTAGATTTTTTCTAGATTCTAGATTAAATGATTAAATGAATTTTCAGATAAAATGCGAAAATCGTATTTTGGTGTCGTTATAATTTCGTAAAGCAATACAGGCGCTATTTTGTCTTATAATCTCCTGCTATTGTATTGTATCTCCTTTACATATGTTGTTTCATAAAATTATAACAATATAAATATAAATATATAATCGTTTATATTTTATTTGAAAAATTCCGAAATTGCTTTTCACACAATATATATGTAATAAATGATAACATATAATACATGTTCTCGGATATTTTCCGATACATACGTATCAATTGCAGGCATACACAATTAATTCACAACCACTATCGCCAGCTTCCGCCGATACGTCCGCCATCGGCGACGCCGATTGCGCCCCAACGCTATTTATTTATTTATGATGCGGTCTAATTTACAATTGGCACGAGAAGGCCAAGCGCGTTGCGTAATCGCTGCAGGGAGTACGCGGCTGTTTATCATTATACGTGAAAAAGAGAAGAGAGAGAGAGAGAGAGAGAGAGAGAGAGAGAGAGAGAGAGAGAGAGAGAGAGAGAGAGAGAGAGAGAGAGA